CAGCATTCACAGTCCAGTACAGCACGTTTGGGATGTGGTTGAAGGGGAAATTTGGATGAGCAGCTGACAAATCTGCAGCAACTGTGTGACGCTATGATGTCAGCATGGAGCAAAATCTCCTGTGAATGCTTTGAGCACCTAACCGAACATATGCCATGAAGAATTGAGGCAGCCCTGGAGGCAAAAGTGGGTCGAACCTTGTATTTGCAAGGTGTAACTAATAAAGTGGCCGATGAGTAATTATGTGAAGTCAAGTCATCTTTATTTATATAGCACATTGAAAAGACATCAAGTGTCGGCCAAAGTGCTGAACGCAGGGATAATATGAATTTAAAAAAATGTGTATATGAAGTACTTTGATTGAAAACACTGATGTAATGCCGTGACATGTTGGAACTTGAGAGATCTGTGACATTAAAAGGAGAAGTGCATCACCACAAATATCTTTAACAGTGAAGTAAAAATAACAGCATTGTGTATAAAAACAATTTAAGGTAAAGATTTAAAAATGTTGGCAATCAACACAGCTGATTTAAAGGCTAAATGACCACCTTAACATGTCGTGAAGTTCTCCAGAGGCCTGGTAACGAACTAATCATGTGATTCAGGTGTGTTGACCCACGGTGAGATCTAAAACCTGCAGGACACAGGCCCTCGAGGCCTGGAGTTCCCAACCCCCGACCTATAGCATCAACATGAAAATCCTGTGCCACCTTCTGAAATTATCGCATTCAGATTTTCACCCACGGCATGAATTTGAAACTTTGTTCTCGAGTTATCGCATTTACAAACATGCAGGGTGACGACAATACCCGATCTGCCTTTTACACTGCAAGAACTCACAATCTTACCAAGTATATTTGTCTAATTTCTAGGACCTGGATCTGCAGAACTTTCACTTAATACAAGATATTTTTGCTTGAAATAAGTGAAAAATCTGCCAATGGAACAAGTGAAAATTCTCCAGATCCAAGATGCACTGTCTAAAAAAAAGTTCCTATATCTCACTGGAGTGTTACTCTGTAGCTGATCGAGGTGTGATGAGATATTTCAACTAGAAATTAGACAAATATACTTGGTAAGATTTTGAGTTTTTGGAGTGTACAGCAAAGGATAAAAACTGCATAGAGAGCAGATGAAATAACTTATGAAATAAGTATGTTAGTAGTTCATCTTTTATTCTTGTGTTGCCTTAACTTCCCTATTAGAGTTGTAGCTTATGCTTCTTGAAACACTAACACCGTTTTTGTTGCACTGGCTGTTTGTGAGTACTGCTAAAATGTATTTTTTTATACTGGGATTTACTGCAGTAGCACTGCTTTTAGTCCCCCTGCTGTCTGGATTGATAACAAATCTTCTAAGGGGCCAGTACTGTCACTAAAACACTCCACTAGTGCTGCCACGATTAGTCGACTAGTCACGATTACGTCGACTATCAAAATC